AAAAAAAAAAACACTGTTATTAACCAAATCCATGATCAGCGCTCCATGTAAGCTGAAACCTGGCATACAAAAATAAAGCATTTGTTAAGAACAAAATCCAAGGCAAAAATATCTGACCCCTGAACCCGTGCTTTGTTCAAGAGGCCAGTTTTCTGTGGTTTGTCCTTTCTTTCCAATACGCATTTTTTAGGATGAAACATAGGAAAATCCTCTCCTTCTCGTCACAGATATGAAGATTTGTAACCGGAACAGCACCTATCCACGAGCCTTCTGCTTCCCTCGCATGAGCGAGCAACGATAGAGCCATAATAGAGGCATGAGTATTGCTATCAGAAATCTTTTTTATTCTTTTCTTACATTTTTTTATTGCTTCTCAAAGCCGTAATTCTTTCTTGCATCCGAACTACGTAAAAAGTAGTCTTTCATGATAACCTAGTAATGTCGTCAAAAAGAACACTTTCCCACAGTGACAGTTGTTCAAAAAGAAAAGAAAATTAAACAAAAAATTTTAAATATTTTTTGTGCTCCTCTTGACGTTAAAACATGCTTTCATCAAAAAGGATTTCTGAAAAAATACTCAAATTTCACTTTGTAAAAAAACCGTTTACCCAAAAAATTTTGCTCAAATAAAAACTGCAGTAATCCAGACCATCTTCAGATGCAGTAGCTGTTGTTGTGAATGTGGTCGTCTAACTCGCAGCTACTTCGACTTCGATGAAAATTTAAGAAATAAGAATAGCAGAATTCTTTAAAATGCACTGAAAAGTAACATATTTGTTCTGTTAAATCTCCAAAAACGTATATCAAAGAATGACGTTTCTTTTAGGTATGCTCTAAGAAGCTTTTTCTTTGTCCGCCTGTTTCGAAACCGTTTCTCATCTTGCTTAGTAGCATTTTAAGAAAATATAGTATGCGGAATGAACAAAACTTTTCTGTTGAGATCTTCTTCAGAAACGGGCCAGTGTACAAGTAAACGTTCTTTTTCCTACTTGTTTACACGTAAGCAGTTGTGCAATAAACAACTTTAATAGAAAACTTGTATTCGTCTTTTACATTTTACTCGATTTGTGGCGAATCAACAGCCACTACAGTCAACGAGTATGAGACAACAGCAAAGGGAAGCGTAAAGCAGGAAGGACAGAGGAGCAGTAAAAAACGGTCACAGAGGAGGGGGAAGAAAAACCAGTTTCCACTAACCAGTACTTCTTTATACATACCTTGGAAAGATCTTTAGAAAGAAAATTGTGGTAAAATGCGTAGGGTTCAGAAAAAACTGCTGGGTCGCTCCAGAATATAGCACTTTCTTTCTAAGAATTTCTGCAATAAATTAAGGATGAACTCGGTGATATCACTGTCGCAAGATTTTCGTTACCATGACAAAAGGTAGCGGCCAAAGCAAAGGTGTGCAAAATTATCTGGCACCCTCACCCCCAAAACATAGGAGTCTCTGCAGTACCAACCTGAGTAGCTTCCTCAGTTCCAAATATTTCCGAGTAGAAATAATAGCAGTGTCAAGAATCAAAAGTGGATGAACTTCCTTACCATCAACTATCCCAAAAACAGCAAGAGGGATGTAAAAACTTTTGCAATCTGCAACACACCACATGATTGTTCTTATATGCGTGGTCATTACAGAACTCATCCCGATGGAGACGGAAGAAAACGCAGTTACCTAAGCAATCAGGCAGGAAGCCTGCCAGAAATTCTTCAAATCGTATCATAGCTCATCGCAAGACCAACCAAACAAACTCTCATACCTCGTGCTTTTTTACGCTTCCATCCAACCCTGAATCAATCAAAAATAGCCTCAAACCACCACGTAACCGCTGCAGCTGTTGAGAGTTTAAATCTGGTAAGAATGGAAAATTTTTTACAAATCATAATGGGGTCAAAAACTAGTTGAGAACAGACCAAAACAAATATCAGGTCAAAGCAATTTCGCAACGTCATTCAAGCCCCTTACAACGTGATCAAAAATAAATCAGTAACTGTAAGAAAAAAGCAACTGAGATCACAAAGCACGGACATGAAGTAATAAGGTCATAAGATACAAATCGCCAGGCAACTGCATTAGAGTTCAAATAAGTTGGTGCTCATAATAAACTTTTTACATGAATCTCCAAAATTTAAATTGACGTACAATGACCGAACAACCTCTTACATATGTAGTTTCCCCCCAAATCACCATGACCTCCAAAAATAATCACAAGGTTGAATAGAAGGATAATACTGCATCGCAAAATCAAAGTGGAAAAATTAAATGCGTCATTGAGAATCCGAACCGAGAAAGCTCCAAAATGTGTTGTAGGCAAAAGCCGTATCAAAACAACCTTTACGTCAGTGAATCTCAAAACCCTAAATTTATAAATGCAAATTCATGAAGGATTTTTGCTTCCTGTCTTCTCACCGTAAGACAAATGCATACTGAACTCAGATTTTTTACCATATGCCACTGCAGTAAGCATCTCAAAAATTACTATAAAAGTCGAGCAGGCATAAAAACATTTTACAAATAATCCAGAAAAATTCTCTGTTCGCCTTGGTTAGCTCAACCCCTACGCCACCAAATACTGGCGCGTTGCGGCATTCCATTATTTCCAATGATTTAGCACAGAATAGAAACCAAGCCAATGAGTGCGTTACTTTTTCGTAATTTCTTCCATGACATTTTGAGAGTGGCACATGAGAGGGTAATCCTTTGTCGCATTTTCTATTGCAGTCAATTAACGGAGGAACGCTACGAGCAAAATACAGTTACTTCCTTCGTTTAACATCCGGGCCGCCGCGACGTTTCGGAGATGCGTACCTCTTCTTCATTTCCCTTTCCTCCACTCCGCGATCACGCGCCCTGTCAGCTAAAAAAAAGTTAATCAATGTGAGAGCTTCCTGAAGCGAAAACGAAAAAAATACCTCGCTGCGCTTCAGCTTCCAAATCACTCCAGTCCTTTCCCTCACTTTCGTCACTATCCAGGCTAACTTCAGACTCTGAATAAGAAAAACCTTCACATCATACCAACCAAATCACCGAAAAATACAAAAAGTGATTACAAACCAGACTCCGAGGTAGCTTCACCAGACTCTTCTTCATCCTCATCTTCCTCTTCATCAGATGCTCCTAAAACGCAAATCTTTCAGGTTCCTGCAACTCCTAATTGACTACTTTTTTAAAACTCACCACTCTCCTCTTCACTTGGCGAATACGCTTCTTCGCTCTCTTCATCTTCTTCTTCGTCTTCTTCCTAAAAGGAAAATCAATGCAGAGCACCACTCAATTTTTAAAATTACTGTTAAATAATCTAGAACTAATTCAACCACACACATCGCTTTCAGCAGAAAGAAAATTCCATCCACCATTAGCAAAAAAGTCATCTGGGTCGTCTGTGATAGTCTTCATAATTTTGGGCCAGTTCAACGACTGAATTCCTTCAGTGTAGTAAATGTCGCATGAACTAAAGTGCGATATTTCAAAAATAACAAAGAATAACATTCTGTAACAATATACCCTATTCAACAATGTAAAAGAAAAACAATATATAGTAAAGCAAGAATTAAAAAAATTACTTTAACCATTCTTTAACGCCGTCCAACGAAGACATTGGCACTTGTTGCACCATTTGCACTTTTCGAGTATAGTCTTTAAAAACAAATACCATGTCAAAGTTTTTAAGCTGGAAAGAAACCCTTTCGAAATGCACAAATTCGACTTCTTCCAGAGTAACAACAAAAGGAGGCTGAAACCTTCAAATAAAAAGCTTTGAACTGTTTAGATCAAAATCAGCTACCTTAAACTCGAAAAGATGACAAGTTCTTCAAATATGGAAAAATTACCCATTCCGTAAGATTGACTAAACAGGTAGATGTGGGCTGAAGAAGGCATGATGACCGATGTGGAACACCAAAAAAGCCCAGTTCTCTAAATGGTTGGTCAAAATCAAAAGCTTCATTGGTTTGGCGCACTACCTGCAAATACCAACCTGAGCAACTTAAACAGAAATTAAAAAAGTAACAGCAAATAAGATGTAGAATTTAAGATGAAACACACTTTGTCGCAAAAATTTTGAAAGGTCTGATCTAGTTTCGCCCTCATTTCTCTTTCCAACTGTTCGCTTTGCACATCGTCTCTATCCTGCATATGATGATATTTCCCCAAATCAGTTGTAATTTCGCCTACTTCTGCATAAAACTGTATATCTTGATATTTTCTTTTCCCCCAAAGCACAGGATTCTGGAAACAAAAATACAGGTGATAATCAACAACGAATAACGTCACAAGCGAAGTGGTCAAGAAAAAGTTTGAAGGATCCATGAGCCAATCGTACTTTTAACGTAAAGTGTAGCAGGATTATCATTTCATTAACGCAAGGTTGGAAAAATGCATGCTTGATGTTGTTATACAAAACATCGATTTTATCACCCCTCAAAGATGTGTAGCGAAAACCTGAAATCCAAAAACCCATTCTAAATAATATTTTCGAGTAAACTGTGATAAATCACTACAAAAAAATAACCCCAGCAAAATAATAACCGTTAGCATGAGCTTCAAGAGAACCGCTGACTCGTTTAGCAATTATATTGGGTCGTACAAACAGATCTTTCAACTTTGGGTTCCCTTTCGCTGTTGATAATATCAACTTGTCTTGTTTCACAGCTCCTTCTTTTTCTCTTTCTTCAGCTTCCTACAAACAAAAATTATTTCAAACCGAACTGCATATAAAAACACGCTTAAACTCGAGGAAAGCCCTGCAACCAACAAGAACAATTTCTAAAAATGACCTGCGTGCGGAACTTTTTCTGTATTTCTTTAATAAGTCTGTAGGCAGTAGTCAAGTTGTTGCTAGCTGCATTCAGTTCACCAGGTTCCTTGATATTGCTACTCCGAAATGTCCTGAAAAATTAATGATAATCACTTTCAATTAGAGGCTAAAAAGGCTTCCCCACAGCTAAAAGTAACTTACAACTCTTTGACGTAAGTCAAGAACGGATGAGGAAATTGTAATTGGTCTTTCCCCATTTGTGAACCAGGATGCATAAAATTAACACGAAGATATGTATAGTCTCCTTCTACCGACTGACTGGTATTTTTAATCATTGAAATATGAAACGGCACCGGAATACCAAAGATCGGCAGGATAACGGTATCGTGGCGCCGATCTACAAATTTTATGACAACAAATATTTAACAAGTAGAACTCTTAAGATGAACTCTCCAAATGGCATTCAAGAGAAAACTAAAAAACTAAATGAAGCTGTATTGAGAAACCAATCCATACCAACGTAAACTTTCAACTCATCCACTTCCGGTTCTTTTGGAAACTTCTCAAAATTTTTGTAAGACACATTTGACTTTTTCACCACTTTCGTATCTTTTTGGCCAGTTTGTTGCGCAAGCCGCTCACGCGCACTTTCGTTCAGTAATCGACCCAAGTCTCGCTGATGCTCTTTACGTTTGTCTTCATTTGTTGTTTTATTCTTAAAAAGCAAAATAATTGTTTCCTCTTCAGAAAACAAAAGATATTCCCAAAAACATCAGAAATTCCCAAAACATTACAAAGGCAACCTGAAACATACTCTAGTTTGTTCCTGTAAAACAACGGATCTTTTGCCACGCCCTAACGCATCAACCACATCGTTCTCCTGAAAAAATCTCCATGTGACCTTGTAAGCTAAGTATAAAACAACAACAATGTAATTTTTGAAAAGTGGCAGTTTTTTCACACACCTTATTGTTAAAGGGTTCAGCTTCTACGTCTTCTTTAAACCTAATAACATTTGATTTCAGACGTGACTTCGCTCGCTCTGTCAAAATAATATTACTACCTTCCTAAAACAAAAAGTTACTAGCATGAAACAATTACACTAAATGCAAAAAAATTTATCAAACCAAAACCTTAGAAACTAAAACGGTATCTGACAACAACAATGCAGTGATTTTTGATTGCTCATCCTTGGCATCTGCATTTTCTAATCCCTGCAGCCCAACATAAACTACAAAAACCATATCTGCTTTCACTTCTTCTTCGCATTTAGGGCTAATTAAAAAGGAAGATTCTCGAAACTCTAAGCCAGTTAGGAACCTAAAATGGAACCCGAATGCTTCTTGTAACTAT